CATCTCTGCTGGGATCTTGCAATCATTTCATCCGTAGGGACCATTCCTAGGAGGAGGGCTGCTGCATTCTAAGACAGCTCTGTCTGCCACTCTCTAAGGATTCAGCACACCTTGTCCACAGCAGATGCACCACTTTACATTTCTACCAGCAGTGGGTAAGGCTTCCCCTCTCTCCACATCCTTGTTACTACCTGCTAGTTTTTGTTATCTCATTTTGTTTTGTTTTCAATCAGGGCCACTTAACAGAAGTGAGGCAGTACTTGGCAGTTCTGATTTTCATCTCTCCAAAGGCTGAATATTGTCAGGGACCTGTCTAGCGTACTGAAGAGCAACAATGTCAGTCTAGAGACTAAGGTGTACCTGACCCAGGTCATGATCTTCGCAATTGCTTGCTGAGCATCAGAGAGCTGGACTATGACTGAGGATGATAGAAAGATCGATGCCTTTGAGCTGTGGTGCTGGAGAAGAGTCTTGAACATACTGTGGACGGCCAGGAGAACAAACAGGTATGTCCTAGAGAGGGTGAAACCAAGCTCCTTGGAGGCAAGGATTCTGAAGCTCTGCCTGATATATTATGGGCATGTGGCCAGGAGGAACCAGTCATTGGAGAGGGACATCATGCTTGGGAGGGTGGAGGGACAGTGCAGGAGAGGAAGACCAGGATGAGGTAGATTGACACAGTGACCAGAGAAACGGGATGAGGTCTGTTGGAGATGGTGAGATTGGCTCAGGACAGGGCAGGGTTCAGAGCTACTGTACATAGAGTCACTATGAGTTGCAGGCAACTCGATGACACACAACAACAACTACAAAGGCTGAAGAACTCACTCAGCATTTCTCAAGCTAAAAGAACTGAAAAACAAATTCAAGCCTTGAGATGCAATACTAAGAGACGCTATGGGGAAAATTTTGAATGATCCAGAAAGCATCAAAAGAAAGTGGGAGGGAATACATGGAGTTGTACAAAAAAGAACTGGTTGACACGTAAATATTTCAAGAAGTAGCATGTGATAGAGTCAGTGGTAATGAGGAAGTTCAAGCTACACTGAAGACACTGGCAAAACACATGGCCCCAAAAATCAACAGAATATCAATTGACTTATTCCAAGTAAATGATGCAGCCCTGAAGGTGCTCACCAGGCTACGCCAAGAAATATGGAGGACAGCTGCCCGGCCGACTGACTGAAGAGACACATACTTGTCCCCATTCCCAGGAAGGTAATCCAAGGTTATTGTTATCGCTACATACAACTCATGGCGACCCTGCGCACAGTAACTGACCCCTGCTCTATCCAGAGACAATCTCGCTGTCTCCAATACACCCACCCTCATCACCCAAGTCACTGTGTCAACCCATCTCATCCAGGGTCTTCCTCTTCTGCACTGTCCCTCGACCTTTCCAAGAATGATGTTCTTCTCCAAGGACTGGTCCTTCCTGGCTACATGCCCAAAGTCTATGAGATGGAGTCTCAAAATCCTTGCTGCTAAGGAACAGCCTGGTCTCACTCTCTCTAGGACAGACCTGTTAGTTCTCTTGGCAGTACATAGTATGTTCAATATTCTTCTCCAGAACCACAACTCAAAGGCATCAATTCTTCTGTCACCCTTGACCCTTGGTTATTGTCCAGTTCTCTAATGCACAGCAAGTAACTGCAAAAGCCATGCCCTGGATCAGACACATCTTATTCTCCAGCTTGACACTGTTAGTCTTCAGGACTCTGGAGAGGTACCTGACCCCAGATTTTCCTAACGCAATTTGTCTTTTAATTGTCTGACTGTTGGTGCCAAGAGTGTTGACTGTGGAATCGAGTAAGCTGAAATTGCTAACAATGTCAATCTCTTCTCCGTCTAACATGATGCTGCCAATTGGCCCAGAGGTGAGAATCTTTGTTTTCTTGATGTTGAGCTTCAATCCATATTGAAGACGACAGTCCTTGACCTCTGCAGCAAATGCTTCAGGTCCTCCTCAGTTTCAGCAAGCATGGTTGTGTCATCTGCATAATGCAGGTTATTTCTCCTCATAAAGTCCAGCCACTCGAATGATCTGTTCTGCATACAGACTGAAAAGCTATGGAGACAGGACATTCTCAAGAAAGGTGATCCAATAGAATGCGGAAACTTCTGAGTAGCATTAATATCACGTGCAAGCAAATTACCACTGAAGATGATGCAAAAATGGTTAGAGCAGTACACTGACCAGGGCTGTACACTGACCGGGGCTGTACACTGACCAGGAACTGCCAGAAGTTCATCAGAGGTTTAGAAGAGGTTGTGGCCCCGGGGATATCAATGCTGATGTCAGCTGGGCCTTGGCTGAAGGCAAAGAATATCACGAGAATGTCTATCTGTGTTTTATTGACTATGCAAAGGCATTCCGCTGTGTGGGTCATAACAAGGACAGAGACCTTTGAGAAGAATGGGAATGGAACACCTAGACCAAGAAGCCTTGGTCCAAACAGAGCAAGAGAACACAGAATGGCTTAAGACTGGGAAAGGCGTGCATCAGGGCTCTGTCCTGTCTCTGGCCCTAATTCAGCCTGTATGCCGAGTAAATATTTGAGAAGCTGGACTCTGAGAAGAGCTGTGGCATCAGGATGAGAGGAAGGCTTGTCAACAGTCTGCGTCAAACAGATTACACGTTACACTGATGACACAGGTTTGCTCGCTGAAGGCAAGGCTGATCTGAAGTACCAGCTGCAAAGGACCGAGGACGATAGCCTTCAACATGGACTGTACCTCAACATCAAGAACAATCCTCAGAACTGGACCAGTACAGAATGCCATAACAGACAAAGACTGAAACTGTCAATCAACTTCATCTTGCTTGAATCCACAGTCAACCTTCTTGGTACCAACGGTCTGGAGATCTGGAGACACAGAGCATTGGAAACGTCTGCTGTCAGAGATCACTACAAGGTTCTTTCTGAAGAGCAAGGTTGTCAGTTTAGAGACTAAGGTGGACCTGATTTAAGCCACAGTCTTTGCAACCACCTGCTGTGCATGTGAGAGCTGGACAATGAATAAGGAAGACAGGAGAATTGATGTCGTTTAACAGTGAGTGATGCTGGAGAAGTGCACTGAACATCCCATGGATGGCCAGAAGGACAGACAGAGATGCCTTGGACAAAGTGCAGCCTTGGAGGCAAAGCTGGTGAAGCCTCATCTCACATACTTCGGGCGTGTTGCTAGGAGCAGCTGTTCCTTGGAGAGGGACTACCATGTGTGAAGAGGTGAGGGTCAGTGAAGGAGAGGAAGACCCGCAAGCAGGTGCACTGACAGTGTCTGTGGCAACGGACCCAAACGTACTGAGGATGGACGGACGGCACAGGACAGGACAGAGTGCAGATCTGGTGTTCACAGGGTCACTACGCGTCGTGAGCCGACGGCACCAACAAGAAGAGCAACGGCCGATGAGGGAGCTCTGGTGACTATAACAGCTGCGCTGCCAACCCAAAGGCAGACAGTTCAAATCCACCAGCTTCTCTGTGAGAGAAAGACAAGCTATCCCTCCCACGTGACTTACAGTCTCTGAAAGCCCACTGGAGGGTCAGCTCTGACTTGAAAGTGGATGGCTGGAATGAGTGGACGGCTGGTGAGGAGCTCTCGGAGATACAGGTGACGTGCTCCACTGCTGCTAGGAAGGTCAGGGGTTCAAATCTACAATCTGCTCCAAGGGTGAGCCCGCAGAGCCTGGGGAAGCTGGCGGTGAATGAGTCGGTGGGGGTGGGACTGTCTCTGGGTGACCACTGCTGAAGAGCCTGGTGCAGTGGTCACACACTCAGTAGTGACTCAGTGGTCAGCATGCTGGTCTGCTCGTGAGCTCTGTCCATTTCTGACTGGGCAGTTCTTCCCAGGTCCACAGGCTCCAGCAGCCGCTCTGAGTCAGGCCGGGTCACTCAAAGCCCCCCAATTCAGCATGCCGCCGTTGTCGACTCTATTCCAGCTCATGAGGGCGTCACCGGTGCTTGGTGGACGCAGGGTTCCCTAGTCCTGCGCCAGCCCAGTCCCTGCCCACGGTCAGTCCTCATGGAGACGAACTGTGGTCAGTTCCCACAAATGGTCCCCAGGAGCACATGGTCACTGCTCACGGTCAGTCCACCTGGCCAGTCCACATAATCGGTCCCTGCGGACAGCCCCCGAGGCCTGTCAGTGAGGGAGCCCTGCTGAAGCCCCCCAGGACCCTGGATGGCCTGTGCCAGATCTGACCCGAGTCTACCCCAAGGTCGGCGATTTACTGCTGGACCACCACTGCCCTCGTGGCTAAATGCTTACTTTTCTGGAACCTCCCTCCCTCAGGAGAGCCAGACTGAACCTCTAACACTCTAAGACACCAGAGTGGTGACACAGGAGACACAGCTCCCCTGCCCTCGCTCAGCTGTATAACAAAAACAGCACCTGGGAGCACAGACTCAGCACCCCAAAACTGAAGGGGTCAGGAGACGCTGGGCAAAAGTGGGGACGTGGGGGACAGAGACACCAGGGGAGGTGGGGGGTGCATGTGAGGCGGAGACATGGGGAGAGGGAGGCGGGGTGCAGGAAGGTGGGGGAAGGCAAGGGGGGCCGGGGGGAGAAGGGGGTACAGGGGGCAGGATGCCAGGTGACACAGGCAGGGGAAGGCAGGGGGTGGGATGGTGGGTGAAGGCAAGGGGGGGACGGGGGGAGAAGGGGGCACAGGGGGACAGGATGACGGGTGAGGTGGGGACACGGAGAGGGAAGGTGGGGTGCGGGATGGCGGGGAAGACAAGAGGGGAAGTGAGGAGAAGGGAGCACCGGGGGTGGGACACTGGAGGAGGGGGGACCATGGGGAGACAGGTACTCTGAGTGAGAACTGGGTCCTTAAGTGGTAGACATCAGGGTGAGGGGACTGACTGGCCGTGAGGAGGCCTTGACAGGTAGCCAGCAGGCTGAGGTGAATATGGGCGCGCATCCCCAGACAGGGCAGGTGTCCTCAGGAGTACGGTGCCCAGGCCCGACCTTCTGCAGCCGGACGGAGGGCTTACCTGGACAGGAAGTGGCTGAGAGGCCCCAGCAGTCCCGAGCGGCTGGCCTCCCTGGGCTCCGCGCTGTCCCACTGGTCCGGGCTGTCGGCCTCCGGGGCGGAGCTCAGGGAGGCGGGGGACGGCAGGTCGTCATCGTTCTCCAGCGCCACGATGGCACTCGAGCTGCTGGTGACAAGGTCCAGGCGGTCCTCACTGCTGACCGACAGCGTAGCCGACAGCTCGGTGCCGAGGCTACACACGCTGCACACGGAGGCGGCGTCACTGCGGCTCGGGGTCCTGGGCGCGGGGCCACAGAGCCGCACGGCGTCGTAGCCAGTCCTGGGGAAGGTGGAGGACTTGCGGACGCCCTGCTCCGGCTCGGGGCCAGCGGGAGCCAGCAGTGCGCAGGACGGCAGGGGACAGGCGCTCTGGGACGCCCGCTCGAGGACAGCGCCGACCTCAGGCTCCGGTCTCCTCCTGCCGTGGGCCGAGCCACAGGACACAGGCTCAGGGTTGCTGATCTCCAGAGTGGGGATGCCCGAGTCCACCGACTGCAGGCTGTGCCGGTCATGGGGGCGATCGCGGGGCAGCTCCGGCCCATGCTCAGGGAATGACAGGGATGTGGGCGCCTTGAAATGCACACTTGGCAGGCTCAGGACCGGGCTCATCAAGGTCACGCCATTGGTGGAGGTGGTGAGGTTTCCATCGGTCATCTTGGTCCAAGGAGACACTGGTGAAACATCAACGAGGAGACAAGGTCAGCAAAAAAGTGGCCCGAGACACTACTTCCTAACACACGTGTGCACTGAGGGCCTCCCTCCACCCACGGTTCACAGAGCATGTCACTGTAATGCACACTCACACACACACACACACACACACACACACCCCTACCCACAGTTCACGGAGCATGTCACTGTAACGCGTGCTCACACACACACACACACACACAC